CCCCCCCCCCCCCCCCCCCCCCCGCTATCGGATCGCAGCGTCTTTGTCCTCCTTCGATATACAAAATTGTTATTTTGGAACATCCAGGACGAGCTCTGCGGCTCCTTTCTTGCGCCTTTTCACCCCTCCACTTCAGGCACACCATACGTAATGACGATTTCCATGGCCTTTTCGTTACCGTTGCGTGGTCGTCATCATTGCCTTGCGCTTCGCTCGGTGTCTCGTTGCTTCTATTTTGTTGCTGCTATTTCTATCCGGCTGACGGTCCGTAACGATGTGTGTTTGCGCGTTGCTACTGGTTGTTGCTGCTAAAGGTGCTTACACATTTCTAACCTTCTAACTGCCCTGATGACGCTACACGTTGCTGCTGTTTGTTGCTTCTAAATCTGCTGTTATTTCCATCCTGCTGCTAAATCTGCTGCTGTTTCTATCCTATTGATAAATCTGCTGCTACCTCTATCCTGCTCACGGTCCATGATGATGCACATCACACGGCGTCTCCTGCCCTTAGGTCCCTGACCTAACCATATGGTACGGCCCGGACACGTACATGGGAGAGAACCTGCACAACATGCTGACGGAGCTCGCCGGCATGACCGACGGACAGATCAGGGAGGTGCACCCGAAGCACGATCAGGTGTGTGTGTGTGTGCGGCGGCGGCGTCCCTTCGGGCTTTGTTGCTTCGCAACCGGTGATGGTGCGCATGGGCCACCACACCCAAGAGTCAACATACTACAACACATACATACAAGCTTGGTGTGCGGCGGACCCAAATTGAGCCAGGGGGGCACAGCCGCAGCGGAAACCTCGCGCATGCGCGCGTGTGCGTGTCTCTCTTGTTATTGGGCTAGCTGGCTGACCAATGAAAACACGTCAGTCGCAGTGCGGCTGAAAACGTGAATTGTTTTCTGCTTGCCGTGACCTGGGACCCCGTGAGGGGGCGTCATGGGCGCGGGGTTTTAAGCTGCTCTCCGGATGTGTTTGTGTGTGTTTGTCACAAGGTTGACGAGAACGTTCCACGGCACGGTGGGAGGGAGCTCTTCCGTCGTCTGTTGTCGCGTAGAAGGCCGGGGCGGGTTGTTCTTATGTGGGGAGGGGGGGCATCGCCGTCTAGGTGGCAGCGAGCGTCGTCTTCACGTGGCGTTTCATGGGTCAAACGTCTCTCTTGTCTCTTCGCGGCCCCGTCTTTCTCCCCCCGGGTATCAGCCTATCATTATCTCACGCCATTCCTCTGTGCCCCCCCCACCCCCCCGCCCTACCCCGCGTCTCTCTTGGTGTTTTACTCCTCTGTTTCCGCGCTCCTTGATTCCTGTCTCTTTTGTTTTCTCCCTCTGTCGTTCCTGTTCGTTCTTGACGCAGGCGTCGGTACGAAGCTTGCTGCCGAGGTTTCACTACTTCCGCCAGGGGAACTGCATCGTGCACCACATGTTCGGGGATGATGTGAGTCGATCCCGTCCCTTGCTTTATCTCTCGGTGGATGGCGTTTTTGTCGCCCCCCTCCTGTGTACAGAGAGGAGAGGACGGTAGCTGTACTGGGGAGTAGGAAGTGGTTTGAAAAGGCGGGAAGGGATATCGTTAGGATAGACAGACTAGGGAAGACATTTTTGAGCCACCTTTGGCAAAGTAGGAAGGAACGATTGGCCATCGGTGATCGGTCCTGTGGGAGCAATGCTCCGTCCTCTCGAGGACGCGTGGTCAATGGTCTAACCGCTAAGACATGCAAAACATAAGAGTACGCCCCCCCCTCCTGTGTACCCCGTCCTCCGTCTCTCAGGGGATGGCGTTGTTAGTCGTCCCCCTTCCTTTGCACCCCTGCTGCATCTCTCAGGGGATGGTGTGAGTTGTCCCCCTCCCCTACTTACGAAAGTTGGCGGGGGTTTTCAAGCACGATCAGGTTCTACCGGTGCTTCGCCTAAAAAGGAATAGACCTAGTGCGTGGTCAATCGTCGGGTGACTCGGAGAGCATTGTTGTTGTTGTTGTTGTCTTCACATTAAAAACCGTTCCGATCTCTCTCTACCCAGTACCTTCATATATCCGTACTGATCCAACACTTGACGCGGTAGAGCATGCACACAAGCGATTACCTTTCCCACACAAACACACCGTGTCGGTTAGAGCCCTTTGATTATATCGCGTGTTTGCGTTTCTTGTTCTGTTGTAGACTGTCGCCTCTTCATTGGTCATTCATTCGGCTAGCGCGGTGGATGCAAATTAAAAAACACCCATGAAACGTTGCTTGAACAGGTTGTGGAACGCGTGCGATCAAACCACGCGGATGCCTTCCACACAGCGCACTTGGAAGTGCCCGGGGAGATGTTTCGTCTTGCCATGGAGGCTCAGAACAAGGTAGGAGCTGGGATAGTACTCGGTGGGTATTGCGGTATGGGTGTGGCTGGCGGTAATGGTATGCAAATGTACGGGATTGTGTGGCAAGTGCCGAGGCAGTATGGTATTTTTTGTGTTTTTTTTGTTCGTGCATTTTCTAGTTTCCATGTGATTTCTAGAAGGGCGAACCCTTTGCGGGGGGGGAGGGTAGTTGGCCTGTGACCACGGAAGGCGCCCGAGTCTGTTGGACCGGTACGTATATTGGAAGGTGGTAACTGAGCAGAGACCGGAACGATATTTTATTGTGAAGACAACAATGTTTACATGCCGGTAATTGTTCGTCAGACTTAACTCTTCGCCTCGTCTCATCACAGGGCTGCGGCCACGGCGGGCTTTTGTCAGTTTTTTCTCTTTTTTTTTGTCCAGGTGCTATCATAGGTAGAGCGTCATCACCCGCATGGGTTCGGTTTTCATGACGCCGCGGAAAAGCTGCACCGCTGCTCCTCTGAATGAATCGTCTGTTCGGACTTTCCCACGTAACTCGATTTTCTCATGTCGTACAAGTGTCAGCACGCCGTGCAAGTGACACCTTTTGGTACGTGACAGATTTGATTTCTCCTTTCTTCTCCCGGCTGACCGAGCACGTCTTTTCATTGGTCAGCCGGTTAGCGCGCTCGATGATAATAATACGGACAAGACACACCCCTCCTCCGCTTGCCCCACCGGAACATCCAACCAGGGGCGGGGAGTGGTGGGATCGACGTCAAACATTCTCGGATTTATCAAGGACCAGACAAGGGGGGCGGTGGCGCGGGCGGGGGGGGCGGGGGGGGCGGGGGAGGAAGCAGCGGGAGAGAAGCTTTCTTTCGTGCTGGGCACGGAGTCGGGCATGATAACGAGCATCGTGAGGGCGGTGCAGGAGGAGCTCAGGGCGCACAACAACAAGACGCAGGTGATGTTTTGCGAGGCTGCTGCTGCTGCTGCTGCTGTGTGTGCCTTGTTTTGTTCGGCACCGAGAGCGCGCTCGCCGGGTAGCCATTTTTTCGTCACGCCGTGTGAGGGGCACGAGATAAATGTGTGTCTGTTTCTTCGAATGGCACCCCCCCCCCTGCAATGCATGGCTGACCAATGAACATGCGTCGTGTCTCAGCGGAACAAAGCACACGAGACCTCTCTTTTGTTCCATCTTTTCTGGCGCCGGTCTAGACCTCGGTACGTGTGGCATATTTGACGGGACATACCTGGGTCACGCGGTAGGAAGACAACACAGCGGGGTGACTTTGGTAGGCTTGTTTGGCCGACTACCATGCTAGATCAATCAAGTGAGTCAGCGAGACGACGTGCTACGCCCCCCCCCCCCCCCCCCCCCCTTAAATTTCTCTCTAAAAACGGCCGGCTTTGGGTGGCACGTTTGGTTCCCGGGGGGGCCCCCCAGGGGGAAAAACCGGGTTCCGGGGGGCCCCGAAGCCCAGAAGGCTAATGGGGGAGTCTGGGGACCGCAAGATGCGAGGCCCCCCCGGGGGTTCTGGGAGAAACTGGGTTTTGGAAATACCCATAAAAACCCTATGGGGCCCCAAAAAAAGCCGGGCGCCCGGGAAAATGGCCTT